GGAAAGCTGAGGCCAAACTTAAGATAGTCTTACAGTACACCGTCGCATAGGGCAGTGGCAATACTCCTTACTGTACATTTGCTTGCGGCGCGCTCGTCAGATCGGAAGGTGGCCGCTGCAAGCGCTGTACAGCCCTGAAGAGTGCGGCTGAGGCTGAGGCTGCATTTCCTGCGCCTGGGGCCTAGGCCTGAGCACGCTGATGATACAGCTTCTACAAAGACTGACTACGGCCGATATCAACTACCACTGAACTGGAGGAAGAATCACGATGTATGTACACCGAACAGAAAAATAGTGTAATGGCAAGCCGACCCTCAAGGAAGATACCTAACAACAAGTGCACAGACGGAGCACCAAGCCCGCAGATCGGCCCGTGACGTACTCCGCCCCAGTCGGTATATACCGACATATACCGTTACTCCAGGACTCTCAGCAAAGCAGGCAACGTCCTGATCTCCGAAGCAGAGTATACCGTAGAGTCTACCAGAACAGTCTGGCTCTGCAGACAGTTTCAGTCCGAGGTAAAGAGCGGCAGCGCTGCATGCAAAGCGGTAGTGTCTATGTTGCCTGACCCATCAATCAATACTCGCAGCTACATGTAGAACCCGAACCCGAAAGGGTTCGTGCCACTTCCATAACCCCGGCACACCCTAGAAGTTTCAAGCATCCGCCCAACCCACTCCTTCCAACTAGCTTCTCCACCAAGGATTCTTCTTGCCAAGCCGAGAGGAAACAGCCAAAATAGTGCTGATGTCCGGCTCTGGCGGACATGGAGAAGTTGGTAGTCGAAGGCACGAGCTATCTCGATTGCCAGACTGCGCGTCGTGATATCCATGTCGGGACAACCTAGAGCATCGTTTCGGAGGGTAACGTTCTCGCGACAGACCATCGAGCGAGCTTTCGCACGGTCAACGAAGGAGCGGGCCGTGGTCGCGGACGCTACGGAGTATAGAGGCTCAAGTAGAGAGAGCAGTACGGCATTGTATAACGAAATCTCCACCGCTCTCCCGAATGAAGCGAAGCGAAGGAGTCGCCTAGCCTCGTGCGGGTACAGCTGTTGGTGAGCGGGCGGTACCAGAAGTTGTCTCTCCTCTTCCCACGCGGCATTGGGATGTTGTGCTTCCCAATCCCAGCGCCAGAGGAATAGCCGCTCTATCTGATACACAATGCGATCAAGCAGGTCGGTCCGCACACCCGGGTCCGTAATATCCGACAACTGGCAGCCGTCTTCGAGGAACCCAGGGACTGTGACCAGAATGTCGACAAGCTGGTCCTGGGCGCTCTTTTCTGTGGGATCGGAATGCCAAGGGACGTTTCGCCATTGCTCTTGTTCGAGGAAGAGCCTCTTTTTAGTGAGCAGACTCACAGTGACCAGTGTACCCCGACACGACGAGAACGCTGCCCTGAGTGGATCGCGCTGGAAAGCTTGTGGTTCGCATGTCTGCAGCAGCTTAAACATGCCCATAACGTGCATCTCCGACCCGGCCCGGTACGAAGTGGACGAGGAATGCATCAGTAAGATCAAGACCGGCACCAGTAGCGCTGCGATTTCTGCAGTGCTGTCGTTCGAAAGTCTACTCCGGAGCTGGCTAAGTGCACTGCCATACTGCGCAGCACCGCTAATCTCGATATTGCGTAGATCATGGCTTTTACCGAAGACACACTGCGAGAAAGCCTGACAAGTCTCTTGGGAGAGACTGCCCAGCTTGCCCTGGGCTGCGAGTTGCAGCCAGGGCATTGCGTACGAGCTCCAGACGTAATTGTCGAAGACAAAGGCAAACTGCATGTCACCTCTGAACGCCGCTAAACTCATGGAGGTCGGGACCCTCAACGTCGCGCTAGGCGTGGTCCCGTCCAGTGAGTTGCAGGAAGGGTCTTGCCTGGCTAGAGTGGCGGTGCTCTGCCCTTTAGTGGCGAGTGTTGAGATGCGGAACTCGAGAGCCCTGTCATAGCCTTGCCAAGCCATGTCAGTGCCGTCTTGTCGGGAGGCTAGGCGCGCTCAAGATCGTACCTGCGCAGACGTAACCCGCTTTGTTGCACCGAGCACAAGTGGGGCGCCCTTCATCTACATATTGTCAACGACTCGATCGGTCATCCCTAGGGACGCACACGTGACTGACCACACTTCACCTTGCGCTTCTTGCAGCTGTGACAGCCTTTGCTGCGACCCGCAACTCCGACCATGATGAGGGTAAGCGGTTGCGTACTGCACGTCGCGAAATGCTTCTGTACGGGTGTCAAGACCGCCTTAAGTATCCATCAAACCCTGTCCGTGATGCATCCGTGGACATCACGGCAGTCCACATTGTCAGAATAGCTAAGGCCAGCTGAAGTCTCGCTCAAGTCCGCAGGCAAAGCTCTGCGTGGCGACTCGGTGGACCGCTTGTTGGGGCATCTGCCGGCATGGTGCGCTCACTGCAACGATAGATGAGACGAGACCCACAGGCAGACCGGATTGGCTATGAGATGTGGCAGTGTGATAAGGCCGTTTGACTGACAGCCGCCACAGAGTTGTGACAGGAGTGAGGCACGACTTGTGAAGCTGCACCTCGCAAGATGGTTCCCCACCGGGAAAGCTGTCAGCTTGAAGTCACCTCAGCTCTCAGATGTTCCCGCAACGGCCCAGATCTGGACTTTGTCGTTCTGAGCACGCCCTTCATATCATCAAGAGCCCCGTTGTCAGCACAAGGCTTCCAACAAGAATAGATGCAACCTCTCCAAACAAGCAGCAACATGCGATGGTACCCGGGAGGACTTCCACACACCTCGCACGCGTGCGAGGCCTCACGCTCAGCCTCGTGAGGCCATGAAGGTGCAAGAAGAGGTTAAAAGGTTCCCACTACCTCCAAGCATGTCTTATTCGCAGTCATCATCCCAACGACATCTCGAGAACCGGGTCTCGGACTACCAACGTCTTTCGCTTCTCTTTTGACCATCTCCCATCATCCCCTTGACATCCTAACAGTCCCTCCCGACAATGCATTCATCGCAGAGCCTCTCGATCGGTGCCGCCATTCTCTGCGGCCTCAGTGGCTCTTGCGTCGCAACTCCAACCCCACAACCTCCGGGATACCCGATCAACGACAACATTGGATTGTCGAATTTGACGCAGCCCTACTATCCCGACATCGCGGAGTGCTCGGAGTACATCGTGCCCGTCTCCATCACCTCCGAGAACCTGGCCTTCAACTACATCCATTGGGAAGATGATTACGAGCTCGAAGACTTCCTCTCCATCGCCACGACGCGTGCCAGTGCCGGCTTTCCCGGTGTCTTCAACGGGACGGTCACCGTGAACGCCACTTACGAGATCGCCGCTTCGTTCTGCACGCCGAAACAGCCGAACGGCAAGGAGAAGAATGTCATCCTCGCAACCCACGGCATCGGCCAGGCTCGCACGCACTGGAACTCGCCGTACAAGCCTGAGGAGTACAACTTCGTCCAGTGGGCTGTCGGAGAAGGCTACTCTGTCTGGTTCCATGACAGGATCGGGAATGGAGGGTCGGATAAGTATGTTACCTCGATGTCCTCCGCGGCACGCTCGGCCTGCTGACGTGCGGCAGAGTCTCAGGGTTCCAGAGTCAGGTCAACGACCAAGTCGAAGTACTGCGTGGCTTGGCTGGCATTGTCCGCGAGGGCCAGTACACCGGTGCCGTAGGCAAGCCCGACAAACTCGCCGTGATAGGCTTCTCTTTCGGATCCTACGTGACGCACCATGTCGTCGCCACATACCCAGAGATAGCCGATGCTGCCATCCTGACCGGCATCGGCCTCAACACTACCCTGGGAGTGAACGGTAACGGACTTGTGCGCTCGTTCGTGCCTCGCATCGCCTCCGTACAGAACGCCGAGCGGTTTGGCGATCTTGACAATGGGTACCTTACTTGGGTGGATGGGTTTTCCCAGATCAATACGTGAGTACAATTGCCACCGCGCCAATCTGCGCGAAGCTGTCCTCTAACCCATCGCCCAGCTACTTCAAGGCGCCATTCTACGACATACCGACCGCCACCTTCGCCGAAGAGAACAAGAACGCCTTCAGCATCACCGAGTTCCTGACCTTCGCTGCCGGCGATCTGGACGCGGGGAACTTCACGGGCGCTGCCTTGGTATGTGTGACGTCGCCCATGGGCCATACTTACCGCGTATGTGCGCTGCGCTGACAGCAGTGGTAACCAGGCCATCACCGGCGAGAACGATTACATCGTCTGCGACGGCTATTGCCCCGGCATCTTCGAGGAGCCAGCTCGCACAAACTATCGCAACGCGAAGATTTTCGTGCCGTACATCCATCCCAACTCCAGCCATAACCTTAACTTCCATCACAACGCTACCGGGGCCTATAAGGTCATCACTGACTTCTTGGATGCGAACCTTTGAGACAGCGGGTGCAAGGTCATGAGATTGGGCATCGGAGGTTGGGCATCGGAGGTTGGTGATCATGGCCGGCGGTGTAACTCGGATGCTACTGAAGCTGTGCGGCAGGCTCGATGTCGTTGGCGGCGGGCGCCTTCATCAACCTCACTCATCACGGGCATGAAGCTGGCATTAGGTGGCGTTGGTTGGATTGTTGTTAGACCGTGGTAATACCTGCCGTACCAGCTGCGATTGCAACCGATTCATGTGGCGTCCCCCCTGTCAGTCTACCAAACGTTTGAAGCCATGTCGAGGAACTATGGACCCATGATGAAGCGCGCTGCTGACCCCAATGTTCCACCCGCCGGACTTGTTTGCGCGGAAGGCCCTCAGCGCGGAGGTGAGCTGGCGGGAGGGGTTTCCACTGTCCACAGATGTCTCTGGTCACTCGAGGCATGGATGTGTCACCAACCCCACCCCATCCCTTTCAACTCGGGTTCCAGTTGTAGCCCGTAGGAATGACTCCCCATGACTCTTCATGACTTAACCGAGTATCCCTACGATCAGAAGCCGACAGTCCGACATGAAGCCGGGATAGTTGATGGTTATATAGTGTCACAAGGTGCAGGGTCCGTAATCAATGCGGACTCGTGGTGCAACGGAAGCGCGTCGGATTGCAACCCCGAAGGTCGCAGGATCAACACCTGCCGAGTCCTCTTCTTTTCTTCCCGAGTATGCTCCGTTGGTCCGTTTGCCTTTGGCGGGCGGATTGCTCTAGACATCCCGTCGAGATTTGCATCGGTGCCGACAGCTCGCGGGTGTATAAGGTCGGAGTAGTGCGCCGAGTGTCTCGTGTCGGACACCCGCACGTGGCCATGCAGCCCATGCTCTCGTGAGGAAGTTCGAATGACCTATCCTTGTCGACTCCCGACCGGTGGCTAAACAGCCGGGATCCTCTTGCCGGTGTGGTATGGCCGCGGATGCCATCATAATCATTCGTAAATGCTTTATGTATCAATGTGTGTCTAGAGTCTAGAATAGCCCAGCTGTCAGCCCAGCAAACGCCACGCTGAAGAACTCAAAGCAGAGCCTGCCATGCCGGACCCGCAAATGCCGAAGCTTCAGAACGGCATCTCCATATCCTCCACCCGCTGCTCCTGCTTCCCTCCATCCCCAACAACCCCTTGCTCGCTCTCGCCGATCGCTTCCCGAATAAACGCCACAAGCGCCGCAACGTACTGCTTCCCGCTACTCGGCAGAAAGTGCCCGCCAGGATGGTAAACCACCCTCGGCACCCCACCCTCCACCCCTCGCCCCCCTACACAAGAATCCACCAGCCGCAGTGAGCGCTCCTCCGACACCACAGTATCCACACTACCAAGAAAATGGCACATCGGGGTCGCGATTTTGGGCTCGTAGAAAGCGCGGTAGAGCGCATTGTTACTAGCGCCGAAGCCGGAGTAGGAGACTGCGAAGCGCAGTGCTGGGTGGATCGCTTCCTCGATGTACCCCGTGTCCTGCACGAACGAGTCCGGGTACCGCATCCCTCCAGCCGCTTGCGCGGCTTCGAAAGCCTCGCGCCGTCCGGGCTCGAGTAGGCTGGCTACCATACCAGCCGCGGCGCCACCCTGTGAGAAACCCAGTACACCGCCAAAAGGCCCTTGTTCCGTGAGTGTCTCGGCGATGCGGGCGAGGCCGAGCTCCATGCCCTCGTAAGTGTACGGTTCATCGTCGCCTTTACGTCGCCACCAGCCGTAAGCTTCCGGACTCTCTTTATCGCCGTCGACGTCGAAGCCGGGGATATCTGCGACGTCGAGGCGGATCGGTGCAGTTGGGTAGACGAGTTCCACGCCGCCGGGGTATTGCTTGAGATGGCCGGGCTTGGGGCCGGGCGGGAAGTGCTTGTCTAAGCTCTTTTTAAGGGCCTTCGTCTTGATGTCAAAGGTACGGCCAGTCTGGGTGAACCCGTGGAGCATTAGAATTTTGAGCTTCCGGTCTGAAGGAGTGGCCGCGCCATTGGTTGTGGTCATTGTCGTGAAGCTGTTGGTGCTGGTGGAGTGAAAGAAGAGTCGGCTTGAACAGGACAAGCTTGGTGGCAAAACCCCTGCAGTGCGACGGTGTACCCTAGCAATACTCTGTCCAAGGTAACATGACATCTACAGAGAAGGAAGGCACGACGAAACAAATGCTGGACCACACAGCCCGACCGCCACCATCGAGTTAAGGTTGAGGTGAGAAACGAGAGGTGGAGCCGACATCTGCTTAGTCAAGCGTCTAAGACCCTGCCAAGGATATCCATCTGGCCTCACCTCCGCCCTCTCCGCACATGCTCTCCAGACTCGAGACCAGCTGTCACGTTGCGCCAACCAACATAACCCACGAATAACCGATTGCCATTACTCAAATTCCACATCGACATCATCGCCACCAGCCCTTTGTACCCACACACACGCAACCAACGAGTAATCCGCCCACGATGGACCAGGCGAAAGAGCTGCTGGAGATGCCGCGCGAGTTCGTGAAGGACGGGCGCCAGTTCCTGACGAGGTGCAGCAAGCGTACGCATCTCCTTTTCCACACACATTTGCCTTAGTAATCGGCGAGATGGGCATCGCTGACAGCGGAATCATAGCCGACCGCCGCGAGTTCCTGCGCATCAGTCAAGCCGTCGGCATGGGCTTCTTGATTATGGGCGTGATCGGATACGTGGTCAAGCTGAGTACGTTACCATTACGCCGTGCAGGGAATACGAACTGGGGAAGCTGATCACCGCGACAGTCCATATCCCCGTCAACAACATCCTGGTCGGCGGCGCATGATTCGGGAATACGTCACGAGACTGGACTTTATCGAGCACAGAGCAGAGACGATCAGACTGTGGAGGAGCGGAGAAGCAATATGCTGCATAGCGGGGGCGTTCAGGAACGGCACTGGAAAAGTACGCGAGGGCCATGTAGCTGTACTTCGGGAGTGTCACTGCGACAGGCATGATGTTGCCTACTCTCCAAGCTACGCCCCAAGCCCGCGAACTCCGATGCCCACGACCGCATGTACGCCCAACACCCTCTCCCCAAGCTCTGTGCTCGGGCTCAAAGCAACCTCGAGACTCGAAATGAGCAGTCACGACGCCTCTGTACATCCCAACCCAACATCATGTACATAAGCCAGTGAGTACAAACCCACCCAAGCTTCTCGAATCCAGTCCGCCCATCAGGAAGGCAGCAACACCACCCTCTTGTGGCGGAGGCAGCGGCGGCGACGCCTTAATCTCGCCCACTCTCACTTTCACTTTCCTCTCCGGTGGGCCTTTCATCATCCTCTGCCTCAGTTTCCTCCTCCACTCCCTCAGCTTCCTCATCCTCATCATCATCATCCTCCTCGTCAGTAGATAGTCAATCATCCTCCTCCCCCTCACCACCAAACAGCCCTCCCAACCCCATCCGATCCCTCAACCTCGTCCGCCGCGCCGCCGTAGGCTGCGCAGCACTCTGCGCCCCATAGAACCGGTCATCATGCTGCAACTGCGCCGTAACCCTCGCCCCCATCGGCGCACTGCCCAGACTACTCGCCTTGGCATACACATCCGCCCTCGGCGCTCCAGCCGCACCATCACCCACCTCATCCCCATCCAACCCGTCATTCCAACTATGCACCGTGCAAGTCCCGAGTCCATGATCCCACCCATTCCAACTCGTCGCGGCAATAACCGGCGCGGAGGGATGCCACGAGCAGTCCCGCACAATCGTCTTCCACACCCCGCCCCGCCCGTAGTAATCGTATCGATCGACATACCGCTCGTCATCAGCTGGCCTACTGTTCTTGGTAGCTTGCAGCACATTGATCGGCGGGCTCGCCGTCGTGCCGTCCAGGTTCCAGATATGGATCTTGCCGTCGTGGGAGCCCGAGTAGATGTAGCGGCCATCGGTGCTGCCCGGCGGGCTGAAGTGGCAGCGGATGAGCGTTTTGAGCACGCGGTGCCCGCGGAAGGTGACGAGGGAGCAGTCGTAGGGGTGCGGGGTGTGGTCGTCGGTGTCGTAGGGGCTGAAGCGGTAGTCGAAGTTTGTCGTGTAGTCCTAAAACAAACACGCCCCACGTTAGCCAAACTATTATGGCGGGGAAGAGGGATGTGTGTGGTGGCCATCCAGGGTGCAAGATCGCTTCTGGTGTGAGAGGTTAGGGTTAGAGGGCTGGCCTACCTGCGGATTGAGACGCTCCCCAACATCCGTACTAATCATCTTGCGCAAATCCCACAGCTTGCACGTCTGGTCCTTGGCATTACTAATCACATACCGCCCATCGCCCTTCGAATCGATATACGTCAAGCCCTCCGTATGCCCGAGAAACATCCCCGCCGGCCGCATCGAAGCCAACGACCGCCGATCCCACACCTTCAGCGTCGTATCATCGGAGCCTGAGTACAAGATATGCGGGCTCTGCTTGTCGCCGAAACACACGGCGTTGACGTCGTCGGTATGGCCCGGGATGCGCAGGATGCTGCGCTGGGCCTCAAGGTCGTAGACGTAAACGCTCTGGTCACTGGTACCGGCCACAATCTCCTTGCCGTCGCCGCTGAAGCGCAGGGACCAAATGCCAAAGTGCCCGCGACTTCTGCCCCAGCCGCCTCCGCCGCCGTAGCCGTGCCCGCCTGTGCCCATGTCGGAGAAGTCGAGCAGGCGGGGCTCCGAGTCATCGCCTTGCTCGGTATTCGCTAGACAGACTTGCGAGCGGATGCTGGAGTAGGCGAGGTTGCGGTTGTCTGGGGAGAGCGTGGCGTCGGTGATGGTCCACTGCCCGCCGTAGTAGTGCACGGTTTTGTAGTACTTCCAGTCGTACGGGTTACTGGTGTCGTACATGCGCACTTTGAAGTCCTGCCCGCAGGCGAAGAAGAAGGAGCCATCTTCGCTAAATTGACCGGAGTAACAACGCGCGTTGAGATTGATGATTAGGTCGGCGGCCGAGGTGGGGATGAGGTCTTGGGTGGCGAGGCTGGTTAGTGCGTGCTGGCGGCCGGGGGATGACAATCCCATCTCGCGGTCCAACATGCGGCGAGCGAGCTTGCGGCGCTTGCGCATGGTGTTGTCGGAGAAGGGTTCGCCACAGGCGGTATGGTCGCAGCGGTCGTTGGTGCCGAAGGTGCCGCTCGCCATGAGCTTCTGGCCTTCTTCGGAGGGGATCTTGGGGTACCTATCGCCGACGACTGGTCGTCGGGCTCGTCGTCGTCGGGCGCCGTAGCCGAGGTATGCGTCGCCCATGTCATCGTCCTCACCGTCGGGCGTCTCGTCGTCTTCATCTTCGGGTAGCTCGACGTGCTGGGCGTTGGCTCGCCGGGCTTGCGAGCGGGTTGTGGCGCCGGCGGTGGGTTGGAAGATGCCGCGGATGCCGGCGTGGCTGAGGAGTTGGAGGATCTGTTGCTGGGTTACTGTACCGCAGCGGAGGAGAATGGATCAGCCGCAGTGTACAGAGAGATGGGGTGGGCTTACTCGGGATTGCGTGGCGGAGCTCAAGCGCCTCAGGCGGCCAGGTCTCCTTGCTTGTGCCTCACTGGGTGGTGTGGGAGACGTACTGGTGATGGTCTGGGTGGCTTGTTGGGCTCGTGCTGTGCTGGCTGTCGCTTGCGGTGTTCTACTGCCCTCTCCCTCCTGGCCTCCGTCTTCCTCCTGCTCCTCTGATTCGTCAATGGAGCTCTCGGTGCCCATCTCAAAGTCCACCTCGTCCC